GCCGTGGGCGGTAGCCCTCGGTGGGCGTCGGGTACCTACTCCCCACCGAGGGCTTCCGCCCACGGCTCAGAAGCAAAGGGATGGTTCGCTCGTCGTAGTTCCTCTGCTACGGCAGATCGATCGGCCCGAGCTTCCACGAGATCGGCGCGGTGTAAACGCCCGTCGGTGTTTCATAGACCCAGGTGAGTACTTCAGGATTCAATTTCGGCTCTTTGTCGTCGGCGGGCTCGTCATCGAATAACTCGCCGTCGCCGAGGTCGAACAGGTACGCCAAACCCACTTCGTTTTGGCTCTGCATGGTGGTTTCGAAGCCGATTTGGTCGTAGCGTTTCCCTTTGGCGTCGATAAGGTACGACGGGTTCTGAAAGACCCAGCCGCGGTGCGAGGCGAGCGAGTCGCCCGCATTGTCGAGCCGCAGCCGCATGTGCAGCTCCCAGATGTCATTCGCCTTGCGGAAACGGGTGACCGTCACCGCGGCGCCGCCGAAGGTCTGAACGATGGGAAACTTGGCGGCGCCGATTTTTTCGAAGCTGAACTCGCGGCGCGTGGCGGGGATCATCGCGGTGAGTTGGCCGGCGACGCTCTCGATCCGCCTGACGTCGCGCCCGGGGAGCTGCATCGAAAGCGTCAGCGTCAGTGCCTGCTCGCCGGGGCTGGCTTCCATCGCGATCGTCTGGTCGGGCATCCGCGGCAATAGCGGCTTGCCGTCCGAACCGGTGACGGTCACGTCACGCAGCGCCTGCACGATCGCGATCGGCCGCAGCCGCGGCTCCCATGCCGCCTCGATCACCAGATCGAGCCGCGAAGCCGAATCATCGCGTAAGCCGCGCGTCGCTGCGAGGCTGAGGGGCTCGAAACGGAACGGCCCCGCGTAGACGGCGCCGCGGCTGCGTAGGCGGGCGCCCTCCTCGCGCGGGACGAGCGTCACCTCGCCCTCTTCGCCGTAGGGATAGACGGTGAGGTCCGCCTCGTCGAGCAGCTTGTCGATCGCTTGCCAGAAGGGCTCTTCCGTGAGCGAAAGCGTCACCAGGATCGGCGGGGCATTGTTGCCGAAAGCTTCGCGCTGGTCATGGAACTTGGCGCCGGTCTGGCGAGTGAACTCTTCTAGGACCTCGCCGACTGGCTGCTGGATGGCTTCGATCGTCACGGTCGACGCCGCCGTCGCGCGGCGGGCGACGTCGCGTTGGATACGGATCCGCACGCGCTCGATCGCCGCTAGGACTTCGGCGGGGATCGAGGCATTCGCCGCGGGCAGCTGGGCGAGGACGCGTTCGGCGTTGTCCGGGGCTTCGCCTGCGAGCTCGACCAGCGCCGCCTCGGCCGCTCGGCGGTCACCGGCATCGGCCGACCCCAACTCTTCGAGTTGCACGAGCACGTCGTCGTCGAACTCGTCGGCGAAGGCGGGCGCAGCCAGGAGTGATGCGAACGGGGCGAGAGCGAGGCCGATCAAGAAGAGTCGCATGGGTCGTCGTCTCCGGCACGGCAGCGGCGAGTAGCGGCGGAAGGGTGGCGGCGGTTGTGACGATTCTAAGCACGGAAGGCCCGCGGGGTCTTGGCCGGCCTCCCCGGCTGGCGTGGCCGTGGCGGCGTAGGTTTGCCGATAGGGGGCCGCCGCGGGCGGCTCGCCGACGCCGCCCCGCTTGATCGACCTCCCGATGCGTCCACTCGTCACTCTTGCTCTGCTCACGGCGTTGTCGGCCGCCGGCCTGGCGTCGGCGGCGGACTTCATGTTCCAGGCGACCGTTGGCGGCACGCTGCTGGAAGGCCGGCCTCTGACGTGGACCGACGCCACGATGGTCCTCCTGTCGCGCGACGGGCAGCTGCACGAGTTCGCCCCCAGTCATGCCAAGCAGGCCCGCCGCACGGCGCCCACCTTTCAAGGCTACACCAGCGAAGAGATGCGGCAGCGGCTCTACGAAGAGTTCGGCAGCCGGTTCGACTACACCTCGACGGGGCATTACCTCGTCGCCCACCCACGCGGCGAGCATGCCGAATGGGCCAACCGTTTCGAAGACCTTTACCGTTCGTTTGTCCGCTACTTCCGCGTGCGCGGCTTCCAGCCCGAGGAGCCGCCCTACCCACTGGTGGCGATCGTGTTCGGCAATCGCAGCGAGTACGAGCGCTACGTGTCAAAATCGTCGTCCGGCGCGCCGAGCGGGGCGCTGGGGCACTACGAGCCCCGCACCAACCGCGTCTATCTCTACGACCAGAGCTCGGCCGGCGGCGACGATCGCTGGGACGAGACGGCTTCGACCGTTATCCACGAGGCGACGCACCAGACCGCCTACAACGTGGGCGTCCACACCCGCTTCGCTTCGGGCCCGCGGTGGGTCAGCGAGGGGCTCGCCATGATGTTCGAGGCCCGCGGCGTCCACGACGCCCGCAGCTACGACCGGGGCGACAGCCGAGTCAACTACGGCCGGCTGTACGACTTCACGAACAGCGTCGTCCCGAACCTGCCGCTAGGGAATCTCGAGACCTACATCGCTTCGGACCAAGCGTTCGAGCGGATGCCGATCCACGCTTACGCCGAAGCCTGGGCGTTGACGTTCTTCCTCAGCGAGACCCGCCCGCAGCAGTACGCCGATTACCTGACGCTCACCGCTGACCGGCCCCTGTTCTCCAAGTACGCCGCCGCCGATCGCGTCGCCGACTTCCGCCGCGTCTTCGGCGAGGACCTCGAACTGCTCGACTCGCACTTCATGAGTTTCATGAAGGGTTTGCGCTGAAGGTTCGGCGAACCAGCAGTTGGCGTCTGAGCCGCGGGCGCTAGCCCTCGGTGGAGTTGGCACCCGACTTCCACTGAGGGCTACCGCCCACGGCTCAGATCAACACGAGTGGGTGTGCGGTTTGTGGCGCCACCCGCGGCTAGCGCCGACGGCTCATTCCGAATCCGCAATCCGCGCTCCCCCCGCCCTGCGGGTTCTTGTCGTCCGGCTGGTGACGGTCGTTGCTGTCGTGGGGCCCGCTGGGGGCGGCGACGGCAGTGAAAGCGGTGAAAGCGTGCTCTTCGACTTGGAGGACTGGGAGAAGTCCGCCGATAGCTAGCGTCAGGCAAGGCACGGAACCTTTGCCGGTCGGTGGCGGCCGACCAAGACCTCACCGCGAGGCCCCCGATACGGAGATCAACCGTGGCCGCTTCTATCGTTAACGATTCGTCAGTCGCTAGTCGACCTTTCAGCTACGCGGCCCTATGGGCGCCTCTGGCGGTGGCGCTGGCGACGCCGCTCTTGTTTCTGCAAGCTGCCGTCGTGAAGCCGATGTCGGCCGACCTCGACCGCATGCAGCGGCAGGTCGCACGGCTCGAGGCGACGATCGCCGAGCTGAAGTCGAAGGGGCACGTCGCGCGGCAGGCGACGGGGCTCTTGGCCGAGCTGACGCAGCAAGAGTCGCTAATCACAGCGGCAGAGCGGTCGCTGGAGCGTTTCGCACGGCTCGACCGCAAGATGACGCGCGGCCTCGACGACGCCGAGCATGCGATCGCCAAGCTCGACCGGCTCGAAGTGATTTCGGATCGCGCCCGTGAGCAGGCCCGCCTGCTCGACGCCACGAACCAGACGCTCGTGATGCTCCAGCCAGTGGCGGACGACCTGCAGAATGCGATCGACCGCGCGGGCCGCCTCGCGCCGGCGGTAACCGAGGTCGAACGGCTCTCGTCGCGGCTCGGCGAGGCGCAAGGGCTCACCGAAGCGTCGCTGCGGAGTGTGGACAAGCTCGTCGATATGCAGCAGACGATCGCTTCTCGGACGGCCGGCGTCGCTTCGGCGAACGCGGCGCTCGAGGGGCTGTTGCGAATGGAGTCGCGATTGAACTCGCCGCTGCTGGCGGTCGCCGCGTCGCAGACCCGGCTCGACGAGCTGATCCGGCTCAAAGACGTGGTCATCGCCAAGACCGACGACTTGCCAGCCGCCTTCGATACGTTCGACCTGATCGTCGGCCTCCAAGACGACTTGCAGCAGGCGCGAGTTGTCTTCGAGCGGGCCCAGCGACTCGTCGCCGACCTGACGCTGCTCAGCCCGTCGCTCAAGCGTCTGGCGACGGTGATTGAACCGATGATCGAGCAAGCTACCGTCAAGAGCCTCGCGGGCGCCGAGCTGCGGATGGTGCTGAAGGAGCTTGGACAACGGCGGTCCGAGGCTTTGGCCAAGGCCCAATCCGAAGCGGCCGAAGACGACAGCGTCGCCACGCGTCCCGCGGCGGCGATGAAGTGAAATACTCTCCCCACGGGTCGCGGCGCCGCTTGGACGTGTAGGCGCCGCGACTCGTGTATTTTTTGGGAGACCGAGCGGCGAACACTGCTAGCAACAGACTTCTTCTATCGCCGCGCGGACTGCCAATTTGCTACGACGCGTTCCGGTCGGGGGGCCGTTTGTCGCT